CTGACCTTGAGGTTAGCAGCCCGATTTGTAACCACTACGCTACCAGAGCTAATTTAAAAATGGCAGTAACAGTACATTGACAGGGAACTGCCAGAGGTTCAAGCAGATTCAGACAAGGACGTGGAATAAGGGATATAACTGCTGATGTCTGGTGGATCTTGGGTGAAAGCAGAGAATACCAGAAAGAGGTTTACCTGTGCTTTCAATTATGTGGATCATGACAAGCTATGGACAACATCGCGGAGAATGAGTATGATGGAACACTTAATGTTCTCATGAAGTGCTCATGAAGAACCTGTACACCGACCAAGAGGCAGTTGTTTGAACAGAACAAGGGAACACTGAATGGTTTAAAATCAGGAAAGGTGTGCACCAGGGTTGTGTTGTTTCATCATACCCGTATGCTGAACAAATAATCTGAGAAGCTGGGTTATATGAAGAAAAACGTGGCATCAGGATGTGAGGAAGACTAACAACCTGCGATATGCAGATGATACAACCTTGCTTACTGAAAATGTGAATAGGACTTAGATCAAAGACCACAGCTTTTGGTATGGATTACACTTCAATGTAAAGAAAACAAAAATCCTCACCACTGGACCAATGAATAACATGAAGATAAATGGAGAAGAATGAAGTTGTTAAAGACCTCATTTTGCTCAGATCATGGAAGCAGCAGTCAAGAAATTCAAAGATGTATTGCATTAGATCAATCTGCTGCACAAGACATTTTTAAAGTGTACAAGAGCAAAGATATCAGTTTGAGGACTAAGGTGTACCAGACCCAAGCCATGGTATTTCATTAACCTCATACACATATGAAGGTTGGACAATGAATGAAGAATACCACAGAAGAACCGATGCATTTGAGTTATGGTGTTGGAGGAGAAGAGTAAAAGTACCATGAACTGCCAATACAGTCAGAAAGCTCCTTTGGAAGCCAGGATGGCCAGACTTTATTTCTCTCTCATAATTTGGACATACTGTCAGGACAGACCAATCCATGGAAAAGAATATCATGCTGGGTAAAGTGAAGGGTCAGAGAAAAAGAGGAAGACCCTCCAACAAGATGGATTGGCACAGCAGCAGCAGCAATGGGCTAAAGTGTAGCAATGATCAGGAGGCTGGTGCCGGACCGGGCAGTATTTCGTTCTGCTGTGTATAAGGTAGCTATGAGTCAGTACTGACTTGATAGCACACAACAACAACAGACGAGTGCTTCTCAAACTATTTGTGGTGAAGGACTCATGTTTTTCTTTTTAATTTTCAATGAGTTTTGGATGAAACTATTATAAAATACAGAAGAGAAAATTACTAGAAAAATGAAATGAAAATCAAAACCATAAATACATGGCCCATTTTTATTATTATACAAAATAGAGGCCCCTATTTTTGAATATTAGATTCAATAAGCATACAATTATGCCGAAAAACTGCCACAATAATTTCTAAATGCTTACTCTCCCTCTCAGGATTTTTCTCTTCCCAGACTTTTGTTGTTAAGTGCCGTCAAGTTGATTCTGATGCATTGTTGTTGTTACGTGCTGTTGAGTCGGTTCCAACTCATACCGACTCTGTATAGGGTTTCCAAGGAGTGATTGGTGAGCCTGATCCACTGACCTTATAGTTCAAACGGTTTTGTAGTCTGGCGCATTAACGCACAGCACCACACAGCGACCCTCTATTGGGTTTCCGAGGAGCAGCTGGTGGGTTTGAACTGCTGACCCTGTGGTTAGCAGCCTCGTGGTAATCCTACAGCTCCACACCATGATTATATAAATGTAGTATATAAAATAGATGTTTATTTGTGTTTTATTGACTACACAAAGGCTTTCGTTTGTGTGGATCATGACAAGCTATGGACAACATTGAGAAGTATGAGTAATAAATAATCCGAGAAGCTGGGTTATATGAAGAAAAACATGGCATGAAGATTGAAGGAAGACTCATTAACAACCTGCGATATGCAGATGATACAACCTTGCTTGCTAAAAGTGAAGAGGACTTAAAACATTTACTGATGAAGATCAAAGAGCACAGCCTTTGGTATGGATTACATCTCAATGTGAAGAAACCAAAAATCCTCACCACTGGACCAATAAACAACATTCTAATCAAGGAGAAAAGATTGAAGTTGTCAAGGACTTCATTCTTCTTGGATCAACTATCAACACTCAGGGAAGCAGCAGTCAAGAAATCAAACAACGTATTGCATTAGGCAAATCTGCTGCACAGACCTTTTTAAAGCGTTGAACAGCAAAGATGTCAGTTTGAGGACTAAGGTGTGCCTGACCCAAGCCATGGTATTTTTAATAACCTCATATGGATGCGAAAGCTGGACAGTGAATAAGGAAGACTGTAGAAGAATGGATGCTTTTGAGTTATGGTGTTGGAGGAGAATATTGAAAGTACCATGGGCTGCCAACAGAACCAACAGATCTGTATTGGAAGAAGTGCAGCCAGAATGCTCCTTGGAGGCCATGATGGCCAGACTTTATCTGTCATACTTCAGACATATTGTCAGGAGGGACTGGAGAAGGATATCGTATTTGGTAAGGTGGAGGGTCAAAGAAAAAGAGGAAGACCCCCAGCGAGATGGATTGGCAAAGTGGCAGCATCAATGGGATGAAATGTGGCAACAATAGTGAGGATGGCCCAGGATCAGGCAGTGTTTCGTTCTGCTGTGCAGAAGGTCGCTATGAGTCAGTACCAACTTGATAGCACCTAACAACAACAACAACAACAGTACATAAAATACAACGTTTATATAATCTGGTCAGGTAAGAAGCAGCTCCTAGATTGACACAGCAGTCCTTAAAAATGCAGATGACTCACTTGAAACAAATAGGTAGCTGGGTGGATATAACCTCACATTATTGCCCCATCCTAATTTCATTTTTTAAGATATCTTACATCTTTGCACCAAGTCCAAAGTTTGTCATTTTTGTAATCCTGCCGCCTAATAGTGATTAGCTGTTGAGGCACAGGAATAGGCTAGAGAGTAATTTTCCAAATCTGTTGTAATTTGAATCTCAAGCTACCCTTCTTCTCTATGTGACTTCAAGCAAGTTCCTTAGCTTCTACTAACTAGAGTATTTTTATCCATAAGGAAGCATCAGCTCTCTCATAAGGTTGTTTTGAGGGTATAAACTGAGAACACTTACACTTTGAGAACATGCACTATGTCTGCATCCCTAGCACCTCTAACAGTACCAAGAACATAGTGATGATAATCACAATGGCTTGTATTAATTGGCGGTTACTATGTTCACGGCCAAACCATTATATTTACTAGCCCAGTTAAAGTTCCTTGTTAACATTAACCCTACGCGGGAGATATTTTTATTAAGCTTATTTTGCAGATGAGGCCTGATGACATTAAATAGCTTGCCCAAAGTTACACAACTATAAGGGGAAGACTGGGTAGGCTAGGAACCCTGGGAGTCTGGCTCCAGAACACATGCTCTAACTAGCTTACACTGTCTCTGCAGGTAGTAACAGAAAAGGATCAACAGAAATGCTTTGTGTGAATGAAATGCACTTGGTATATAGCAGGTTATTTGCACAGGTCCCCATAATCCCCAGACCACTCTGTGAGGTAAAGAGTGTTGCTTGAATAGGAGGAATCTCTGATCATCTGCCTGAGGGCATGCAGTAAATGGAGATATCCACTGCTAGAGGTTGAGGGGCTCCTGTAAATGGTCAAACCCAGATCTTCTCTTTTTATTTAGGTCCCATGCTCTTTTTACTATTTGCTGCTGCCTCCATGAAGGAAACAAGGGGAGCGGGCAGTGAGACTGGAAGAAAATCAAGAAAGCCGAGTGTTCCAAAGGCAAGGAGTATTTTAAGAAAAATCGATAGCCTCAAGCCAACAAATGCTAGAGGAAGTTTAAGCAGAATGAGGTCAAAGTAAAGGTATTAATTCTGACAAGCGTGTGGTCAATAGAGATCCAGTTTCTTCCAATTAGGGTTACATTTCAGGAAAAAAAATATTGTTTTGTGTTAAGAAAATAAACTGAGTGCGAGCTTCCCTACATGTGCTATGTACTTCTTATTCCAGATGAATACAATTATCAGATTAAGGCCACTTTAGATTTCCATCTTCTCACAGCTCACTGACACAGAGCAGGGAAAGAGTACAATGACATGATTAGGGATCAGTTTAAAAACCAGAGTACATACAACCAAGTGAGGCCTAAGCTTGTTCCAGCAGATTATTGAAAGATATTGTGACAGGTGGTTATGAAAAGCATCCAATACGTCTAAATAGTTATGACAGGAGCAGCAGTTTATAAAAGGAATGATTAAAAATCTGGAGCTCAGGGAATGCCTAACTTTCTAAGATAGCACTGGTATCCCTGATATTACTTTGTTAACTCAGTTGACTTTTCTCATTTTAAAGCTTTTATGCACTAGTTTTTAAAGATTTTATATGGCAATACCAATATTGTAAAACAAAGAAAATGTAAAGGAATTACACAAAAATTCCAGCAAGTGCTTCAATACTATACTTATATAAAATTTAAAATAGTTCTTTAAATTTTGACAAAACTGTAAAGATTTTTGATTAATGGTAAAATAGTACCTTTACTTTGAAATAATTTTGCTCTAAGGGGAAAAAAAATAAGATACATCATTGATTTATAGATTATAATTGTTGAACCTAAATTTCTAATTTCATAAATATAGCAGATTAGTCCCAAAAGAGCCACGGTTAGGTAGACCAGACTTCACCTATGAAGTATATCCGTTTTATAAAGGACAATACATTGTTAAATTCCTGCTTATAAAAATGTATAGACAGATTCAGACAGAAGTCATAAAGTAACATAAACAGTTCTTATTAGCTTAACCTGATTTTTTTAAAAACTTAGATTAATTTTTAGGTACTCACCCAAAGTATATATGAACGAACACTGGACAATCATACAGATAAAGCAGTATTTTTATCTGAACGTCACAGTCACATAGGATATGCAATTTAAATAAGTATTGCTTACTTTAGACCAAGAAAGGTCAAGAAGATCAGCAGTATGTCCTTTATATTTGCAAAATGGCCGCTGTCGAAATGGTGCGTTTTTATCATCAGGGTCTTCATCAGTTCCACTGCATACCTATTTAGGCATCAGGACAGACTTTAACACTGAGGTGTAAAACAACAAAGTTTCATGTTCTTCCCACCCCATTTATTAGTTGGTTATTTTGTACAGTCTGATTGAAATCTTGATACTTTAAAATTAAACTCTCCCTTATGCTAAATCTACTACTTATTACTTCTTTATATTTCCTTACCTAAAAACAAGGATCATCCCTGAAAACAGCATGCTATCACATGCTGTGTTACGTGGAATGCTAAGGATGCAGAAGAAAGTCTATGAAAATATAGGGGATTAAGGTGTAAAGATATATTGAGACCATGACGTAGAGCCTTAAATCGGTGGCTTAAAAGTTCCAATATTCTAAGGCAATGGAGAACCAACACAGGTCTCTGTAGAGGAAATAATAATATCATTGGACTGGTACTTTAGAGAAAGAGAACTCTGGGAAATAATGTAAAAGATAGGAGAAGGAGACTGAGGCAGGAAGAGTATTCTGTAAATTTAAGCAAGTATGATGAGGCCCAGACTAGCATAGTAGCCATTTGATGTTGCTGTTAGGTGACTCACAGTGACCTTGCACAGGGTTTCCGAGGAACTGCTGACCTTGTGGCTAGCAGTCCTGTTCTTATCCTATAGCACCACATCAGAATCCATAGTGGCCGTGTTGTTGCAAAGTGCTGTTGAGTTGGTTCCAAATCACAGAGACTCTGTATAGGGTTTCCGAGGAGTGGCTACTGAGTTTCAACCGTTAACCTGGAGGTTCAAACCGACTTGTGGTCCAGAGCTTATCCTACAGAGCTATGCCAGGACTCCACAGTGGCCATGCTGTTGTTGTAAAGTGCCACTGAGTCAGTTCCAACCCATAGCAACCCTGTATAGGGAGGGTTTCCAAGGAGCAGCTGGTGAGCTTGAACCACCAACCTTGTAGTCCAACTTTGTAGTCCAGCACATTATCCCACAGCACCACACCAGGATTCCACAGTGGCCATTGTTGTTGTTAAGTGCCATCGAGTCGATTCCGACCCACAGCGACCCTGTATAGGGTTTTCCGAGAAGCAGCTGGTGAGCTTGAACCACTGACCTTGCAGTTCAAAACAACTTTGCAGTCCAGTGCATTAAACCACAGTGCCACACCAGGACTCCAGAGTGGTCATTGGGATTCATAAGAGCTATCACTACCAACTCCATGGCACACCAACGCCACCACCACCACCACTGTTTGTTTAGAACTTTACAGTTTACAAAAGCATCTTCCTGGAGAACAAACAAGATGGCGGATCGGGTAGCAGTGTAATAAGGAGGTCCATCAGCAGGAACACAGAATACCAGACCAAGCAGGCTCAGAGAATGTTGCCAGAACTCTGAACCACATAAAAAGGAATATTTAGAAAGTTGGACGGCTTACAGCCAGTGAAATTTGTAGCAGAAGCAAGAAACCCAGTGCTTTCTAATCCAAGGCGTTCAGCTGCTTCCTGAGTGGCCATCTTGGGTGAAACCGAGCCGGGGATGGATCAGAGCAGCCACGGGTGCCAGACAGAACCGCAGAGATAAAGGTGTGGACGTTCTTTTTTTTTGTATCTGTTCATTGGTCTCTTGCTGTCTGCACATCTCCATTCTGGTTACTAAAGGAGGTGCCTGACCGAGGGGACACCCCACCATGACCCCCGGAGGGTTCTACTACGTATGTGCACAGATCTCCTCAAAATTGAAAGTGACGGTTTCCACTTAAAACCAAACGGCAATGCAAAACAGCCACAGCTGGCACTGAATTGTTTATCACTAACAAAAAGGCCTGAACGGTGGTTGTGGAGCAGTAGAGGCACTCTAAAAAGGAAACAGGCCGAAAATTAAAACCTGAGTTACATCATAATGACCAACAGTGGCATCTTGAAATTCCCCAGGAAGAAGAGTGAAAAGGGAAGCCCATTACCTGATCACATCTACCTGGAGGCAATCAGAAAGTATAAAAAATGCTAAAACACACACCCATCTAAGTATTAAGGCCACAGCTCACTCCCGAATATGCCCAAAAAACACATCTAGAAACGAGATAAAGTGACTGAGGCAAATGAGCTAGAAGTAGACCTACACTCCATACTAGAAGATGGGCAGGCTTTGAAAATGCCTGAGAAGGAATTCAGAAAAATGATTATAAAATGTATTGAAACACTTTACAATGGAGTTGAGAAAAATAAGGAAGAAGTCAGGAAAGCGCTACAGGAACCATCAAACAAGATAGATACAGCATTGGTAACAATTCAAAATCTACAGAAAGAGGTCCAAATGATTAATAACAGAATATCAGAAATGGACAATACACTGAAAGGGCAAAGGACTGGAATTGAAGAGATGGAAGCCAGAACTAGTGAGCTGGTAGATAAATATCTCAAAATTACTAAGATAGAAAAACAAGCAGAAAAAAAGGATAAAAAAATCTGAAGAAGGCCTAAGATTCATGTTGGACAACATGAAGAGGACTAACTTAAAATTTATTGGCATTCCAGAACAGGAAGAATCACAGAAGTCCACAGAGGAGATAGTTGAAGAGCTGCTAGAAGGAAATTTCCCAAACATCCTGAAAAGTGAAAAGATAAGCATTCAAGAAGCTCAACGAACCCCAGGAAGGATAGACCCTAAAAGAAAATTTCCAACTCATATAATAATCAAGCTCTCCAAAATCAAAGATATGGACAAAATACTGAAAGCAGCTAGGGAAAAGAGAAGTGTGACATACAAAGGCAAGCAAATCAGATTAAGCTTGGATTTCTCAACAGAAACCATGCAGGCAAGAAGGCAATGGGGAAACATATATAAAACCCTGAAAGAAAAAAAACTGCCAGCCAAGAATCCTCTACCCAGCAAAGCTGTCGATCAACTATGATAAACAGAAAAAACAGCATAAACAGAAGCTAAGAGATTTTGCCAAAGCCAACTCTGTGATGAAAAACATCCTAAAGGGAGTTCTGTGGACTGAGAACCAACAAGAACAGACAACGAGAGATTGACGTACATGGCAGCATCACCCGGAACTCAATTGACAAATGGAAGAGTTGAGAACAGAATGAAACTATAAAAACAAATACAGAGGATTTGGGAGGTCAGTCTATAATCACAACAATTACAATGTGAAAGAAGGTAAATACAGAGGAACAGAGATCCAGGTGGTGAGAAGATCAGATAGACTACAAGATAAAATAGACTATCTTAAATGGATAGAATATAAGGTAACCACAATGGTGGGGTTGCAGTGAAGGTTTTAGGGGAAGATGGAGGGAGGGGATGGTAGATCACAGGGAAAAGGCAGACACCTCATAGTTTGGGTGTTGGTGAGGGCAATACAAGAAGGGGAAGGGTGTCGAATAATAAGATAGATAGGGGAACCACTGGGACAGGTTTGCATGGGCTAAGTGGGACAGAGGTAAACAGTGATGCATGCTCAACCTTGGAACAACAGGGCTCTGTGATACGGGGATCTAGGCATAGTTTGAAGAGGGGAAATAACACTAAGATGCTTGACTGTCTTATGAATATCGATTTCCCTTGCCTAGTATAAAATAGATACTTGAGTGGGATAGAAAGGAATGCCGGGAAACATGATTACAGAAAATCTGTAAGCCCATCTTCAGCCTATAACTGACTGGAACACCTAAAACTTGCCCAGTGAAATAGGCCTCTTGGGGAGCCTTTGCAGAGTATAGGACCTTATCCTGAGTCCCATACAGAACCTTCTGAGGTGGAACATTACAGTGAAAGGACAAGCAGAGCAGCCTGGAACAGCTAAAGCAACAGAAGATACATCGTCAAAAAAGACCATCAGGAAAAAACCAAAACAAAAATGCCAGTATGACTGGCTACTACAAGAATAAGCAAGCTGTTCGTCAGGAAGCCATCAAGGCAAGCCATCAAGTTCCTTCAGGACAAACACCCCTCTAAGACTGAAACTCAAAGGGAACACATGAGCAGGCATGTAAGCTTGCTGGTGACCACATTGGTCTACTAATGAGTGGAAGAGGGGAAAAGGCAGCAATGAAGAAATGGGCTGAGTTCAACCACGTCCATTGACTCCCGTTGACATGGAGATGAAAGAGAGAAGAGGAAGGACTGGTTGGCCCAATCTGTGGTGAGACCTGGGGACACCTGAGCCCATGGACAAGGACATAGTTACAGAGGGCTAGAGCTGAGAGTGAAGCATCCAGGTGATATGAAGTGAGGGGAGATGTACAAGAACATCTAAACTTGCAGATAGTGCCCATTTGACCTAGCCTTGATGGCTTGATAATCAGAACTCAACTAGAGGAAGAGAAAAATAACAAAACAACAATTTTTGATAAAGGAAACAAGGGTAAATTGCTACAATTTGATGAATCTGACCTATACTCATGGAGGTAGTAAATCTAAATACCACAGAGACGGAAGGAGTCTTCACATCAAGTATCAATGCTGTCCCCTCTGTACACAGAGTAGATAGGGGCAGGCAACTTAGACATTGGCTACCTAAAATGAGGGGGTGATAAAGGCACAAAGTGACTGGCTTACAAGGTTTCAAGAGGGAGTTTAGTTTAAGAGTGTGTGGGGGAAGAAAGAGTCCTCACTGAATAGTTTTCATCTTGTCTAGATGGGTCTGGTGAAAAGGGATGTGGATAAGATTCTTATGATTCAATAGTGAGTAATTGTTATCATGACTAATTGCGACTCTCACAATTGTAAAGGTAGAAGTTTTGTAACATAAAGTGGAGAAGCAGTTAATCTTACAGTCCAGAAACAAAGGACCCTAGGACCATCAAGGGTGAAGAGCACAAGAGGAATACGGGACCTTATCCAGAGAAGCAGGGATACCAGAGATTGAGGCAGAGATGGGGACATGGAGAGGGAGAAGCTGAGGACTCGAGAGTCATCAGAAGGGAGGGACTAAAAGATAGTGGCCAGGAGGTAGACTTGCAGAATGTGCCCTCTGGTGGTGTAAATTATTATATATGCCTGGGTGCTTTAAAAAAAAGCTAAAGTGAATAGAGAGA